ACACCTACAGTGCTGGAGAATGATAAAATCCATACATATATGTTCACGCCGGACTGGATGTAAAGGCTTGTCTTATCCACAAGCACGCAAGTAGAAGGATGTGTGTGTTTTGGTCTAAGCAAAGCACGCCAAACAAGGAGAATGATCGTCTTTCCACTCTGGGTACAAGATAGTCGGAACATTTAGGAGACATGAAGGAGGAGAGGAATCTCGAGTATGATTTATAGATTTAAATGAGCTCATGCAAAAGAATGCATTTTTCTAATGTTCTTCTGTATTGACATTTGTGGAATACAGATACGCAAAAACAATACACATTGCTGGATTGAACTCATTTATAATGTACCGTATTGACACATACATACTAGCAGAAGGAACAGACACATACAGAACTCATATGACACCATTATGCATACTAATAGCTACGGCTAGTTTCAGTTCAGCAGATATGCAGTGGCTTATACGCAGTGTGTTCCCCCACCCCCCACTGATATTAGCCTCTCCTCACCCCATCAGCCAGCTGAAACCCTGCCAAAATATGTTCACTTAGATTTTCCTTCCTCCCTCTCCCTCTCTTTTCCTCCCTTAGTTCCTTTCTTTTTCTTTCTCCCGTCATCTCTCAGCTGAGCGCCAATTAAGGCAGGGGGAGTCTTTTGGGCTTTTGGCTGAGGTCCCATCGTAGAGCAGAAGTCACAGAGTAACCTTTCTGTGCTGCTGGTCTGCAGAGAGATGCTGTTTTGGTCCAATTAGACTAAAATACACTGCTAGCATGCATCAGTGACACAGGTGGGTTGTGCATGCAGTCATTTCTGTGTGCACTTTACTATTAGTACCACTCAGTACCTCCCACTGTTATACCTTAACATGCAGTGCAGCTCTCAGGCAGCAGAGCTCTGCAGCACACAGAGGGGAGGAACACCACCCAGGGAGACATGTTTCTCAAAACATCCAAGATACTCATGTAACACTCACGACTACAAGCATACATACAGAGACACACTTTGAACATTCACACAAACACAACCTCCTTATAATCGTACCCCATCCAGCTCATCTTTAATAAACAAAACAATGGGGATAGTACTTAAACTGGAGTTCTCCTCCTCTACCTGACCCACAGCCTCCCTCCCTCCCTCTCCTTATTTCTCTGGAACCGTTCTGTGAACCTTGCTCTAGAAGCAGCAATGCTGAGACTCTGGGACTGCTGCTGACTCAAAGCTTAGGCCTGAGCTAAAACGCCACCCAAAGGAGAACATGTTAATTAAACAAAAGCAAACCTAGGGACCACACATGGAGAAACACTGCTGCTTTATCCTTGATTAATAATTACTATGACCGGGGGTTTTTTAATGTCAAGGGAAGGAGATTTTCTGTCGGAAAAAGGGATTAAGAGGTAGTCTTTGTGCTGATGTGAAATACAGTCTGAATCATGCTGCAAATCTTTAATATAAACGGATTAAATAAATGCAAATGATTGTTCTAATGAGTGTACGTGGTACATTTGGGAACATATTTATGTCTATAGATACATGTAAATGTGTGCACACTTGTGTTTGTGTGTCACCATCTGCCTCTTTGCTTCCAGCTGTGCTGCAGAGCAGTGACCTGTGAGGTGACCTGACGGACCAACGCCTGCCAGCTAGCCACATTTTGCTAAAACACAACTTGAATTTAACTCAAAATAGACACAAAATTCTTTCCTGTCGTCCTTAATCATTTAAAGTAGCATACATTTTCAAATGGGTTGCTCACATAGTGATACATCTGCAGAGAATTATCACATGAATCAGCCTTATAGAGACTGTATGCATTGTGTCCACATTACTCTCACAGAGACATTTTAGGCCACAACAGACAGCTGTTTAAGCAAACATATTGTAAAAAAACAACAACAACTCTCTGCTCACCACCAAATAACTAAAAGATACAGTTAGACATAGCAACTCAAAAGCCAGATATTTCGAAGCTGATAAGAGAGAATTCTAAACTTAAATCTGCCAGCACAAAATCAACTCCAAATGAATGATAATGTTGCTCTGTACCTGCTGGATGTGTACATAAAAACTGTTCCCTTCAACTTTAAAGGTGATGAAAGGGTCAGATCTATAGGTCAAAGTTGCAGATAACAGAATCACGACTGTTCTATGTCCAATGTTTACAACATCATAAATGTTCCTCAACATTGCAAAACAGAACACGGACATTCCTTAGAAGAACATTTCAAATACGAATTAGAACATGGTCAAGTCTAACAACTTCCTGACACGTCTTCTGAATGATGATAGAAGATATTATCACCATGGAAATAAACACAATTACACCATCCACCAGGCAATGCTTTCTAATTCTTTGGCCCTTACAACACAATATGATGCAGCTTCAGGTTAAACTCTGCCCATGTAAGGTCAAGCACACAGTTTTATTTCAGGGTCCTCTGGGATCTGCACTCCTCCTGGGATGGCACACTCTGATAGCCTCTCATGGAGCCCGATATGGACAGAGCCATGCATTTTCCACATAGTTATACTCACATCTACTCATTAATTAAGTGAATGGTAACATTTATTCTTTACCCAAGTTATGTTCTGATTGCTAAACTGGCCAGCCTTCCAAACATTAATGTGTTTTTTTATTAGTCTCGATTTTCTTTAGGAGGTAGAAAAAGAGGCTTAATGCTTTTAAGACACTTATACCGAATCCTTGTTTTAAGTACTTCATATCCATTTAATATTTTAGGATTTTATTTGTAAACAATTGTAATACTACTGTATTAAAAAAACACTATTCTTGTGCATTGACTGTCATAATAATATTGTCCTATTAATGTTTATCGCTATCTCTGTGTGGCTAAAATAATATTATGTTTTCTTTAAATAAGGAAATTCATTGGCATATCTTTACCTACACGAATAATGTGTCAAAGGATTCATAAGACGTATGTCTGTAAACATGACCATTGAGCAGTTGCAGGTCAGTGGTTCAGTGCAGTTTCCTGTTGATGTGGCTTCAAGCATTTTACCTTGAAAAACATAACATCGTAAAAACTAAGAGAGCTCGGGCACACATGGCCATCCATCACTGATCGTGTTACGAAACAGACACTTCACATATAATGTCTGGGGGGGTGAGAGTGTGATCTATAGGGCAGGAGCTCTGTGTAATTGGAGGGGGAGCCAGGTTTAAATACCAAAGCTGGCTTTGAGGAAAAATAAAAAGAAGATATGTATGTAGTGACTGGAGAACAAAAGGGAGACACGAGGGAAAACAACAGGAGATTATCAGAGACAAATAGAAAGGCACACTGTAGTGAGATTCATCGCAAAGAGAGAGCAATGTAAGCTCGAATTGAGAAATGGGGGGAAAGGATCTGAATTCGTGGAGTTTGGCACTGTCATGTGATTCCTGGGAAGCCACTAGCAGGCATGATGTGTCTAACATATAACAGATGGCCCTTATGGCCCCATGAACCACGTCTTTAGAGAAAGCAGGGGCCCCTGCTCTTTACTATTTTCCCTTCTCTTCCACTGACACAGCAAGGGATGGAAACAACACTGTGACCTACATGTAACATCTCCGAGTGTCTACATATTTGCAGATTGGCTTTTTAATTTAATCAATAATAATATAAACATCTATTTATATGATTTTTGTATTAAATATGTTTATATTTATGATGTGTGTTCTTTTTTTTACTAGTGATTTTGTTATGGTTTGAGAGCCGATAAATTATAATACTTCTCCTTCAGGCCTACTCTGTGCTACAAAGACGTCTGTATCTTGTTGTTGTGGTTCACATGTTTTTCCGCCTTGTGTTTCATTGATTTTCCATGCAATTTACCATCCGGAGGAAATTGGGCAATGCAAAAACAATTGAGGAAGTGAGCTTGTCTGCGACTCGAATAAACAATCTCTTTTGCGGTCATCATTCTTCCACATGGCCCTGAATAATGCATATCTTTACTTTTCTTTTCTGAGAACTGAGCTGTGTACTGAAATAATATTTGGAAGCATTAACCTCAACAGCAGACCCCATCCGAGTAAGACCATTACAGATAAGCATCATGACAGCTTCCTTTGGCCTCACTCACACCCCTTCTGTACTCCATGTACTGCTCTGCACAACAGTTCGTGGTCCAGCCACATGGCACTCGCCACCAAACCCCCCGTATACACACACACACACACACACACACACACACACACACACTCCCTCCAACCCAAACCCGGATCCAGCTACAAAGATCCTTTTGTTCCATTCCACTCAAGGAAAATGGAAATGCAAGCAACCCTTTCACAGCTAAATCTGAATAAGTGTAACCAACAATGTTAAGCGAAGGGGAGTTAGCTGAACCGCTTGTCTTGCCCCATCTGGAAAGTTTTGCATGTGGACACACACAAGAACTCTTTCTCTCAAACATACTTATGTATGGTACATTACAGCAAAGCAATTTACTGCTATCAGTGCTAATAGAGGATACAGAGGGTGGAGTTTAATTAGAGTAAACTACCAACACTCAGGTGACTCCCATCTGGTACTTTCCTGAAGTTATTACCTCCCTAATGACCACTCTCTGATATGGCTGATGGTACTCAGGACTCTTTCTATCCAGAGTTCACATATGGCTAACATGCAAGAGTACGCTGAGCTGAATCTGGCTGCAGCCCACGTGGCACATGCACACTTATTGATTCATGATTGTTATTCATGTCATGAGTCTTGAATCTAGAAATCTTCACTTATTTTAGTATGTCAGCTACACGGACTGCGGCTAGGAGATGTTCATGAAAGTGATTGAGTGGCTGAGCAGGCTGTGTCAGACATCACTGCACAGAAATCTGAGACGTTCCACACAAAGAATCAAAGTTGGGGCTGGAAGTTTGTGTTTCGGTGAGTCTCTAAGCTCCGACTGGTTTGGTGAAGGCCAATGTTTGGACTAGCATTGTGGGTTTGGGGTCACACAACGGTCTGTCACGCTCAGTGCAGCCCGTTCAGGTCTTACCTGTTCTTTCTCTCCGCTCTGGGGTTTCTGTTGTAGTGGGCTGCTGCTCCCACTCCAGCCCCTCTGGCTCCCACTGGCCCTGCACTGGCCCCTTCTCCTCCTCGCTTGATGGGAGGTCCACCTCACCCCCCTCTGAGAGCTACACACAGAGATGCCTTTGTCAGCGGTGGAGCCCTTCTCTCAAAGAGGAAGTGATGGTAAGATTATACAGAGTGCCTATGGTCACATAACCACAAAACATTATACCAGTGGCTGTGTTTTTCCACTATTCCCTGCATCTTCTTCATCCTTTTCTCCATTACACACTGAGCAAGAATGCTTTAGAACTCGTTGAGGTCCAACCTCTGCCACAGAGCGTGGATAAGAGCTTATTCTCAGACGGCACTTTGAATCTATTTCAAAACCAAGCACCTCAAGCGTTAAGGTTAATAAAGTACTCAGTACTGCAGATCATATTTTCCTTTACCACTCTCTGTCTGGGAGGAAATGATTTATCAAGATGAACATTTTTCAAACAGAAAGAAAAATAATAAAAACACACATTTGGATCTTCTAGTACACCCTCACCTCTGTATGTTGTGTTGAAACCTACATGCTGCAGTTTAATCAAATACATCAAATTCAACTTATTTATGCTTTTACGTTCAATTAGTTCTGCAATTGAATAGAATGAGAAAAGTATTTCCTGATATTTTTAAGAATAAAATTGTATTTGGCTGTCATAGATTCGTCCGACCAATCAGATAACACATAGCTTCAGGTAACCAGATCACCTGTAATGCGGACCTTTTCCTGTTTTTAGGCAGATAAACAATAGGAGGAAAGAAAGGAAATGCATTTGGTGGTTTGCAGCGGGCCGTTAAACCTACATTAGTTTGTTTACGGTGAGATGGTCTAATCACTACAAATCTGTTTCCTGTTCTGAAACATTCAAGATTCCTCCTATGCACTGAACAGAGACCAGCAATCCTTCCATCCCTCGCTTTTTCCTCTCTCTGCTTCTCTAACTAAATCATTTTAAGGTGTATGACCAAGATATAGAGATGACACAAAATAAACTAGCTATGCAGCAATATGTCAGAATCAGAAACAGGTTTATTACCAGGTAGGTTTACACGTACGAGGAATTTGACTTGGTGTCATGGTGCATACATAAAAGTAAAACAAGAATTAAAAAAACACAGGTAGAGAACTAGAAAAAATATTAAAAATAATAAAATATTAAGTAAAAATATATAACAGTATTTACATTGCAATGGAATGGAATAAAATATGGAATAAAAATCGGCAGTAATAAAAACTAAATAAACAGTGCCACAGATGAGCTAGAGCCCATGCTCCAGAAGCCCTTACAAATACCTCCAAAATGAATGTGCTTTCTTTCATCTAATTCAGTAATGCTATTATATTAGCAGTCAGTAAATACACAAACAGATCTACAACTCACCCACTGCTGATTGGGCATGGCCACGGAAGTAAGCACGTCAGCCATGGCTCCCAACATCTGGTCAGTGCGTCCCTGGTTCTTCTGTAGAGCCTTCATTTTCCACAAACGCCCAACAAAAACTCGCCTCAAATGTATCTCCTCTGCTGTTGTGACCCTTGGTCTCTCTGGGTCTTGTATCTCTTTTGTCACCCTGTTTTCTGCTCCTTCAGCTCCTGTCTGACGGAGCACTGTGCCACAGTTTAGAGCTGAGCCTCGGCAGCCCGCCTTGTTCCAGCCTGACACACAGGAAATCTCATTCATATGAATAATTGATCCAGGAAGAAATGGGTATGTTTCGGTCTTGACAGGAGCCTCAGAGCTCTTCCCTCATTGGCCCGCTCTCTTACTTCCTCTAATTCAGACACAGGTGAGCCGGCTGGAGGTGTCCCTTACTCTGGCTTAGTCCAGTAAAATCATTTCCACTTGTCGCTCTCAATATAAGGTTCCTCTTGACAGTCAAAATATTGACTGGGCCTTCCTGGTGTCTCTTTCTGTGTGAAGTTGTAGTTGGATGTTGAAGTCTCCTCCTGTCTCTCTCACTGAATGCTGAAACGGCGAGCTGTGACTTCAAGACTTACCACATCACCCTCCCTGGAATTCTCCTTTCTTGTTCTTCATTGGCTATAAAGGGTCACCACCCCCCTTTCCAAAACCTCTCCTCCTTCCATCATTCTTGCTCTTCTTTCATTTTGTGGTCCTTGTCTTCACCACCTGGATCTTTTAATCTCAAAAGATGTCATTCCTTTCAATATCTCTTTCTGCTGGACTTTCTTTGAACAGCCCTGGCACCATACACTCTCTCTTTATCTTACCCACGTCTCAGGCAGGGACACATGGATTGTGTGAACCTAAGCAGCGGGACAGCCCCAAATAAGGTATGAATACACAGCCCATGAAGCTCAACTATTTAAGAGACTGTCCCTGATTGCACACAGACACACACACACAAATACATACACCTTATTAAACTGCTGAAATACTGATTACTGAGTCAAACCATTAGTATTTGTTTCTGGTTAATTGAATGATTATTTGTCATTATAAATTGAAGCCTTGGCTTGCAACATTGTTGACTGACGGATTACAGACCATGAGCCGAGTCTGTATCTTGGAAACACACACACACACACACACACACACACACACACACACACACACACACACAAAAAGACACAAACACACACACACATGATCAAAAAAATAAATCTGTGTTAATATAAAGGTTTAATTATGTATTACTTAGCCTAAACGTAACCAGATGTGTCCCATTGATTTCAAAGATTTCTTTGCAACACAACACAGAGTTTCAACAATTACCATGAAAGATTTGACTAATACTAAAAAATAATCTGATAAAGCATTTGAAGATAGATAAGATCAGCCTGTAGATTGTTCCATTGGTTTTCAATTTAGCTCTGGCTTTGGGAACAATAATTGTAAACAACTTGCCATTGACAAAGCTGTTCTTGTACTCGAATATCACATACAGTACATACTGATACTCAAAAAGCCTTTGCAAAAGTGGATGCAAAGTATAGTTTGACAGTTTCATCAGCATAGAAATAAAAGGATGGGTATGTTATTTGTGCCTGAGGCAGTTTATGCAAACAGTAAATAACAGAGATCCAAACCTTGCGACACATATTCCTAATTAGTATTTCATATTCATTGTTTGGATTGTTTTCTAAGATTTTGGTAGCGTTTTGTCAAATATTAAGAAAGATATTTCAAATGCTTCACACTATACCAAACGTGGGTTTTTTCCTGATTGCTTTGGGTGTTATAGAAGATCTGGATTTCATCTTTATTGAGAACATTTAGTCAGCAGTAAAAACCTCTGAGAAATACTGTACTGGCAGAGGTGAAGATGTGAGTATGAGGAAACACTAAGCTTGGAATTGGAAGACGCAATGATTGCTTTCAACAAGCACTTTGTGATCATACAAAGTTTCCACATCGCTCAGACTAGCCTTTAGCACAAGGTCAAGACTGACTGGACACATCAGAATCACTTTCTCTGAACCAGGGCAGCTAGAAGAGAAGCACGTTATACTGGCTTCTAATCCGCCTCACATCATTCCCTGTCATCTCTCCACTTGCTCTTAAAAGGCATGAAATGACAAAAATAAAAACAGTATAAAATGTTGACCTGTACTGCATTGCTTTCATTTAAAACTACTATGGAACAAACTACAAGGAATCTTTCAAAAGTAATAGGTTTCATATTTCTCTGTTGAGCCAGCTGAATCATGTAAAGTTATTTCAGAATATGCAATATTACGTTGTTATATCAGTCAACTTTTTTGTCAACCTCCTTTAAATATTTTGAAAAGAATATGCACAACCAGAATTTAAGGAGTAGTGGTGCCCATTTGAATACTTTTCTACCTCATGTTTTCTTGCCCTAACCCAACACTAACCCAGCCCATTGCAAGTCTCATTTTGTGGTTTTGAGTAAAAGAGAATTACTCAAAGGTTTGAGCAAATCATTGTCTTAGTGTGCAGTATTTGTTACCCATGCATTAGTCACCCACCATTGTATCAAAGCAACAAAAAAAAAAAACGTCCACTTCCTATTGCAATATGTTTGCATTACACCTTCAGTAATGTTTCCTCCGGCTCCGTGTTTCCTTCCATACACCTGATCCCTCCAGGATAAACACTTTTAAACAAGTAGCATGGGTTCTGTGTGTTAACCCGTAGATTGAAATAATATAGCAGATGATCGTAGAGTCTGACCTAAGCGGAGACTGTCCTGTAGAGACTGCCAACTGTCTAATATTAGCTGAGCACATGGCTGTCTTTAACATCAGTCACTAAGCTGGCTAAACTTCGTTTGTTGCTTCCCAAGCTTCTTTCCAAAAATGATTTTGCTCTACCAGTGACCCCTGCTGGGTACTCTGCTGCCTGGGGAGAAGTTGAGCTGTCTTTTGCAGCAATGAGTGAATAACTCTGTTAGGAATTTGCAGAACAGGAGGGAAATAACTGTGACCCTAAAAGGAAAGTGTGAGCACTGTCAAGAGGTAGGAGTCAGAACAAAATGTACTTCACTCACATACATCAGATTAGTTCATATATTGTACAAATCTTTGGGACTTTACTATGTGATAAACAAACAATGCTGAGGTTGAAGTATGCTGTGCTGCCCTCGTCTGGTACAGCTGTGAGATCAGTCTTGTATATCTAACAGGATAACACACACACACACACACACACACACACACACACACACACACACACACACACACACACACACACACACACACACACACACACACACACACACACACACACACACACACACACACACACACACACACACCAACACTACCCCACCCCACCCTGTTTTGCCAAACAGACTTCCCTTTCCTCTGAAAATCTTCTTATCCACTTGTTTTGACCTTTCACAAGCTATAAATCTTCCCCCCAATCATGGACTTTCTTCTACTTCCTGTGTTTCATATCAGTGAGCGGTCAAAACCCACCTCAGGCTCCTGTGTCTAAACAGAGCACCTTTAGATTAATGGGTCAAGTTAGTGTGATGTTATATCTGATCTGATGCTGATCTGAGGCAGCTTCTGATAAGGAATTGGCTGGTCATTTGATGGAGATTATGTTCAGGTTTGTGACCACTTCACATGGCTGGTATCAACAACATGTATTTGTTGGCTAACTCTTGAGAGCAGATCAGCAACTATAATTCTCAACTATAAGATCAAAATGCTTTTGAGTGAGCGTCCAATTTGTCACAGTGGCTTTTCTAAGTCAAGACAGAGCTCTATATTGAAAAGGTTTTGCTGGTTAATGTTATGGCACGAAGTATCTAATAGAACTCGTTGATGGTATGTTAGGATTAAACTGTCAAATAAAGACATGTAAGTGCAGAGCAAACAAGATGTGCCTCGTTACACGTTTGTTGATACATTTGAAGGGGGTGTAGATAATGAGGGTTAGGGTTCATTTTGAAGCTATTTTAGACATGAACAGTCTGAATATCATTTTGAATTACATAAACAAGATTCATGGATAATCGCTGCATGGCCCAGTTTGATCAGAAGGGGGCAGTAGTCATCCCTCTAACAGAGGACATGTTGCATAAGGCAGGTTTCATTCACATGTTCGAAGTCACAGATTGGCTCTTCTCGAATTCACAATCAGGGTTAATCTATTAACATGCACCTTTAAAACCATGTGATTGAGTCTGTGATGATATGAGTAAACCTGTTTACGCGATAGTCCTGTCCACATGTAGGATTTGGCTGTCAAAGCATCACAATTCAAGCAGGGCTCGGGGTGTGGAACCATCGTGAAACTAGTACGAAAACAATTATTCAAGTGTCTTGGCCTGGTTTCTTATAAATGGAATATAAGATGACTTGAGTTGTTCCAATTTGTGATTTTGTTGTTGGCTCGTTACCCGAATCACCAGGTTAAGACAATTAAATTAACGTTTGATGAAAATGTGAATACTAATAAAAAATAATATGTGAGCTCTCTTTTGATCTGGGCTTGTTAAAAGCATAATTGTGATAGAGAAAAAACATGTCTTCTTTGATGCCTATTGAAAATCCGTTGATTCTAACTATTTGAGCATCTGTGTCGTTGTACCATGTGTGTTCGTGTGTGCAGAGCATCTTATATCTGAGCAATTGTGTGCATGCATCACAGAATGCCCATGTGTTTCTTTGCATGTCTGCATGTGTCATCCCTGTCATGGGAATAATTACGAGCAAAGCGCCCTGGCTTAGAGTAGCAGCAGGGTTAGTTTGTTGTCCCAGCAAATGGATTTCCATGGGAAAACAGACCCAAAATGCTGCCTCTCATCACGCAGACACATTCAAATGAATCAGGCAGGGGGTCCTCAGCAGAAAGACATATTTAGGAGCCAGAGCCTCTATGATTCAGTCACCACACTGATTTGGACGGTTAGAGATCTTTTCCTGACACAACAGACGGGCAGCAGAGAGCTGTGGATGGACTGACTCGGGGAGAGCTGTGGAAACAAGTGAGCGGGAGAAGAAATAGAGAGCAGACTAACTTAACAGACTGTAACTGTTGGCTGCTGTCTGTTTCTTTCTCTTAATCCTTAAATCTTCTCTAATCAGGATGAGAGGGAGAGAGCAAGTTGCCTGACTTAGGACAGCAGAGTCTATGTTGGGACCTGGACAGATTGCCGGCTGAGGAGGCAACCTAACTGGCCAGTAGGGAAGATGAGAGGAGGGGGAAGGCATTCAGCTGGAGTCAGTTTGGGAAACTTAAACGTTAACAGTTTCTACCAAGAGCCAAGAGGAGGAAGTAAAGTCCAAAATATGAAGATGGTTTTGGTTTGACTGCAGAAGAGAAGAGGAGTAACCAATGGCTGGATTATTTTAGGGTGAGCATTTGCTATCACTATTTGTTCTAAAAAACTTTGGCACAAACTGTTGCTACTTTTGTTTCATCTTCACTCCATACCTCACAGTTAGGCTTCAGCAAATGGCCCTTTGCAAGGTGTTCATCTAGAAGGAAGTGTAGGCCACAATGG